GCAGGGACACCTTCAACTCAGAATAAGATACTCTCATCACTACTGGTCAATTTGGTAAGGATCTAAAGAGGTTTTTTATCCCTTTTTTATTGCAATATAATTGACCTACAATATTATGTTAGTTTCAGGTATATAACCCAATGGTTGGATATAAGTATATATTGTGAAATGATCACCACAGTAAATCTAGTTAACATCCATCATGACACACGGTTATAATTTTTTTTTCTTGTGATGAGAACTTTTAAGATTACTCTCTTAGCAACTTTTAAATATACAATACAGTACTGTTAACTATAGTCACCATGCTGTATGTGACATCTCCATGACTTATTTATTTTATAACTGTAACTTTGTACATTTCTGCCTTTACCCATTTTGCCCACACCCCATCCCCACCTCTGCCAACCACCAATCTGTTCTCTGTATCTATGAGTTTGGGGTTTTTTTTTTCTTTTTTTTAGATTCCACATGTAAGAGAGATCATACACTATTTGTCTTTCTCTGATCTGAAGGAGTTTTTTAGTTCTTCTCTGTGCTATGTCTTCTTCCTTATTTATTCCCATCAGTTAAAGACAGAGTATCTCCACATGCATCATTGGGTGTTTATCAGTTAGGAATATGTTTCTGTAAAATTTCTTGTGTGAATAACCACAGTCAAAGATCCTATCTAATAAAGTGTTTAAGCCTTGGGACTTTTTGTCTCTTAGTTGCTGGTCATTATGCTCCCCCACCGCTGTATCCCCATCCTATGCCCAACCCAACCAATCCTCAGTGTTCTGATTTGTTGCCTCATGGTTTCAATATGGCTGCTGAGCATCAGGCATCATACTTGCATTCAAGGCAGGAGGCAGAGAAGAGGTGGAACATGAGAGCACCAGTGATTTTTTTTTAATCAGAAAAGCAAACTAATAATGATAATAATGATAATAATAATAATAATAGGGCGCCTGGGTGACTCAGTTGGTTAAGTATCCGATTCTTGATTTTTGGCTCAGGTCATGATCTCATGGTCATGAAATCAAGCCCCACTTTGGGTTCTGCACTGGGCATGGAGCCTGCTTGGGATTCTCTCTCCTTCTTCCTCTGCCCCTCTCCTGCTCTGGTGTGGACATATGCACAAAATAATAATAATAATAAAATGAACCTGTTAAAAAAAAAAAAAAAAGAATGAAAAGCAAGAGCTTTCCCAGAAGTTTCCTAGCCAACTTCAGCCAGAATGTGTCACTGAGCCACCTCTAGCTGCAAAAGAAGCCTCTACAGTAGCTTCTAGAGTAGAAAAGATCAAGGGCAAAGGGAATTGGTAATGGGTCAGCCATAAAGAGCAAAAGCCCTAATGGATGGGAGGTACTGAGACCTACAGAGCTGAACATCTCATAGTTTGGAGCTTCTCGAAAGATATAAGCCCCAGGAGCACCTATGGTCCTACCTTCATGTCAACCAAATCTTCTTAATAGAAAGAGGGGCTTTATTGGAGGAAAGCATTCATTAAATCCTTGGCCTAAATATAGGTATAACAAGGAAGTGAGGGCAGGGTAGCAACAAATTTCTCTCTTTCAGGAATATGACCAAAAAGTACAAGTTTGAACCAACTTCTAATTAGCAGCTTCAGAAGGCAGCAGGAAGCAAACCTTTATAACTTTCTCACATCCTGGTGTCCACGGTGTTTCCCTGAAGTGATGGGAGGGTCCTTGTGCCCTGAGCTGAAGAAGCTGGGACATCCCGGCACTTTTCATGCCAGGCTTTAGGACTCGAGCTGGTGGTGGCAACTTTAGAGAGGGGAGTGGATGGAGCTCTTAGGGACTGCCACTACGAGAGGGGGAGGTTCATGCCTGCTGCGATGGGCACCAGCCTGGACCTAAGAAGAAGCTTAATTTTAAAAAGTCACTCACTCATAAGAGATTCTGCCAGAGCCCAGGTACTGAAGAGCAGAGATTCCCGAGGCGGCTGTGACAGACACCAGGACCAGTTTGTGCAGAATGGGCATCTAGAACAGGATGCACCCTAGCTCCTGGAGGGAGAGGTCCGCTGCAGGCAGGGTCTAGTGGCTGCAGCAGTGAAAAGTAACATGCCCTCGAGGCAGAGAACCACTGACCACACTCAGTGAGTAACCCTGCTCAGTCGTTTATAACTAGCAACTCCTGCTCAAAGCCCAACGCCACTCCAGGCCCACACCACCTTACCTCTTCCTTCTCTGAGGGCATCAGGTCAGTAACACTCCCTATTCCCATCTCTGCTAGCAAAACAACCAGCATCCTCATTCTGTAATCTTTTGAGGTGGTTCTTCCTTGATGCAAAACATCCCTCTGTGCCCTTTGCTATGGAGATTACACACACTTGCAGCATGTTAGTTTCAGAGTGCTTTCTATGACAGCCTCTCCCTCTGCCTTTCCATATGCAAGCTCTCAGAGGGAGCCAGACACTCCATCTAAGATCTCTCTGGAATTGTCTTCCTTCTGTGTCCACTATCCATCACATGCCTGCAAGGTGTTCTGTGTTAATTCCAGGCAGGTTGGAAGGGGTAAAGTAGCTGTGCAGGCTGACTTTTAAGGAATACATTCATTTTGACATATAGTCCACATGTAATATAGAAAGTCAACTTTCGGGGTGCCTGGGTGGCTCAGTCAGTTAAGTGTTTGGCTCCGGCTCAGGTTATGATCTCACAGTTTGTGGGTTCAAGCCCTGCATCAGGCTTTCTGCTGACAGCCTGGAGCCTGCTTCCGATTCTGTGTCTCCCTCTCTCTCCGCCCCTCCCCTGCTCACACGCACTCTCTTTCTCTCTCTCAAAAATAAACATAAAAAAAAATTTTTAATAAAAAGAAAGTCAAGTTTCATCAACATCAGCAAAATAAAAATTTCAAATAGAGAATGCTATACAAGAATACTGCAGTCTACAATGTGAATGCATTAAATCCACTGAATTGTTTATTTTATGATGGTTAAATTTATGATGCATGAATTTCACCTCATTTAAAAAAATACTACTGTATTCCTACACTTGTTAAGTGTATGAAGTGGTTTTACCATTTTCTTCCTCAACTCATTTTCTTCACACTCCTGTAGGCTAGTTGTTTCTTCTCAGATAGGGAAACCTAGCTGGTCCACAGAATGTATGAAAGCCACCTGGAAAGCCACCAGGTCCACAGAATGTATAAAGCCAACCGAAGGATGACCAAGCAACAAAGAACTCAGTGTGCCGATTCCTGGGTCAGCACTCATTCCACAAAGGTTCCAAATCAAGTAACTCAAGGGCCTGGTTCCTTCATGGCTTCCAAAGGCAGCAAAGGAAGCAGAAGCACCACCACGTATAAAGGAAGCTAAGTCCTCTCTTCGTCTCCATGTCTGCCTGAATTTGAGGAGGAGTTCGTCTCTCAGAGGCAGTTGGGCAGGAGTGTAGGTATTGGAGGTGAGATCAGTTTGCTAAGCTATTTTTCAAGTTCATTTTTTATATTTTGTTTTTTAAGTATAAAGTCAGTGTTTTAGAACACATTCACAAAGTGGAACAGCCACCGTCATGATCTAATTCCAGAACACCTCCATCATCTCCAACAGAAACCCTCTACCTATTAGCAGTCCCTCCCCACTCCCCCCTGACCCCCAACGACCACAGATCTATGATAGGTTTGCCTATTCTGGACATCTCATACCCACGAGGACATTCACCATGTGATCTTTTTTTGTGCCTGGCTTGTCTCACTTAGCATAATCTTCTCAATGTGCATCCACATTGCAGCGTGTATCAGTATGTCACTCCTTTTCATGGCTTTAAGCCATTTCTAAATCCCCAGGGATTCTTCTGTTGTTTCTTTCCTGCCAGCTGTGGGGATGTAGGGCCCGCGGTCAGGGCAACAGAAAAGATCTCTCATTCCAGCAGGGGCCCAGAAAGAAGAAACAGAACCCTCAGCAGCATCACCAACATTCCCCCATGATCTTCTTCAGGGGGAAGGTCAGATTCACTGGCAAACAGTCTTAACCACAGGGACCATGCAAAGCGTCCATCCCAGGGCACCCTGCACACTCTCCAGATGGTGAGGGCCATCCTGCACAAAGCCAGACCTAGTGCTTAAACAAAGGCAAGGTCCGGTGTCATCTGGGACGGTGATGCACTTGACCCCATCCTTCCCACAAGCACATAGGAGCCTGCTCTTAAATTGTAGATTTATAACGCAACCTATGAATTTCTCATCACCTCAGCTGTCTTTTGCTCAATCAAAGCCTTCTAGCCTCTAAAGTGTTTCCTGGGGTAGATTCCCCACGTTTAATCCCAGGACAAATATTACTTGCAAACATTCCTGACTTGCACATGCATCTCCATGTCAGATGGATAATTTGACGTCCTGGAGGCCTGAGCCAGCAGCTCACCACAGGTCCCTTCACTCAGGCATAATAACCTCAGGACTCTCACAGCTACTCTTCAATGTCCTCATCTTCTTCTTCTCCTTTCTAGTACAAGGTGGGCAAGGAATTATCACGCCCATTTGCAGAAGAAATGGAGGCCCAGTAAGGGTAAGAGACCAATATTAATTAGCACAAGGGGACCAAACTGATAAGGGGTCTTATCTTCCACCCCACTATTCTGGATGTGCCAAGATGACACATGAGAGGGCTAGTTAATGAAATACTCCTTTGAAGAAGAAAGTGAAAGAAAAGCTACAGTCGGTTCTCAGCTGTCCAGATTTGAGGACACATATTTAAACCCAAGCTGTATGGTTCCTGCCACCAGCCCATGTCATCTTCTATAATTAGGTAGCACATAATGTAATGACCTACATTAACAGCAAAACATCTCAGTGCCACTTCCCACCCTCGAGCTGTCCGACACAGACCAAAGTCAATCATAAACAAAAGAAGTCAGTCAAACTGAAATACATTCACTTTATGTGTGGGTCCAAAGAAAACCAGGCCTTCCGCCAGATCCAGTCTGCTGAGGAAAGGGCTCGAGAAGCAGTGATGACCTTGCCCATCTCTTCTCCAGCCTCCCCTCCAGCCATGCTTCTTACCCTCCCTTCAAACTTGGCGGTGGCTCCTTCTCTGATGCAGAGGTTCCGAGGGGGCACAATGAAAGCAGGGGCCTCGGTCAGGGGCATGGAACCGACTCTTGAGTGATCCACACTGATGGAGGTTTTGGAAACCTGTGTTGAGGCAGCCAGCTTCACATCCCCCATGGTCTGCAAACAGGAAGGAAGACCACGTCAGATGAGACAAAGTATAGGCCCTCATCCCTATGCGTGGCGAGCATTCCCAGTGTGCTGGTGGGGCCCCTGTGTCGTGGGTTCTGTGGGGAACAGGCACCCCGTTACATCAGGGTCTGTTAGAGCTCCTCTCTGGGAATGAGAAGCTCTGTGTGCTCCACACGCAAGGCTGCCAGGGTAAGTCCCAGCCTGGCCCAGACACCAGCACCAGGACCACATGCTGGCCTCCTCAGAACCCAATGGAGAACTTCTAGGAAAGGGGCAGGTAGGATAAGAATGGAGAGACCAGCTGATCTCAGCATTTCTACAACTGACATCTAAAATCAGTAGTTAATAGTCATTGGCCCTTCAGGATCAACAAGTACATCAGGCACTCATGGCAGAAAGTAAAAGCTGCTTTTGCGTGAACTATGAGAGTTCACAGGCTAAAGAAAAACAGGATCCATATTCCCAGAAAGGAAAGAGTTGGGGTTAAAACAGCAAGAATCCCGGCCGAGGTGAAGTGAGGTGAAAGTGAACAGATGAATGGAGAGAAGGAAGCACATCTAGGGAGGACATCCCACATCTAGGGACTAGATTGTGGAAAGCCTCGAAGGTCACAGAACATTAGGGAAGGGAACATTCTAAGATTATTCAGGCAAATTCTTCTGTTTATAACTGAGCCCAGAGAGGGTAAGTCACTAGCCCAAAGAGACAAAGCAAAATGATGGCATCACTGGCAAGAATACCTCAGGCTCCCAGCTCCTGGCACAGGGCCCAGGTGGGACAGGACAGGATGTAGATGGGGACTGGCATGTTAGCAGGAACAAAGGAACTTCCTTAGTGGAATTGGTAACAGGTGTGAATCTCAGATCTTGGTGGGAAGCAACAGAAAGAGACTCAGGGGTTCTCATAAGTAGAGAAGGGATTTGTGGGAAAGATGGGGGAGGAGGAGTTCCCCAAATGCACAGAAAAGACTGGAGGACAAGGCTGGGAGAACAAGCAGCAGCTGAGAAGAAGCTGGGCGGTCAGACCCCAAAGTCACTGGATACCCACGGGCACCAGGTGGAATAATGTCTTAAGTATCCCTGCTCAAGGTTCCAAGTCCAGGTGGGAGCCTCACCAGGCTGGAACAACTCAAGGTTGGGGACCACGTCTTACTTGCCATGGAACAGTGGTATCTGGGGCATGTAATTAGTTGGTGTAAGTTTAACAACATCTAACAATAAAATACGCATGTGTCTTCTGAAGCTCAAGTTAAAGTAACAAAGACTCAGGTTTGTTTGTGACAGGGCACATCCCCTGCTTGACAAACTTAGCTTTCTCTTTTGCTGAAAAGGTATTAACTTTGCAAACAAAATCCTTTCCAAATGGTAAGATTCACAGGCTCACGGCAGTAGATAACAGTAGAAGCAAAACTTATGTAGCACTATCTATCAGGAACTATGCTAAGCACTTTTAAATAACAACTCATTTGCTCCTCACAACACTATGAGGCAGATAATCTTATCATCCCCATTTTATAGATTAGAAACTGAGGCACAATGAGATTAAGAAATTTGCCCAAGGTCATGGCGTTTAGTAGGGGCCAGAACTGGCATTTGAACCCAGGAGTCTGGTGCCAGGGCTCCTACTCTTAACCACTGGCTCTCTTGCCTCCTGTAAGCAGTCAGTTGGCTGGTGGAAAGAGGGTCTGAGGTTGGGGTAACAAGTGAAAAAGCAGACAGCCGTTAGCATATCACATATAAAATTAAGATTTTTCTGCATGTCAAACAAATGTCCAGCAACTGATAAATGGATAAAGAAGGTGTGGTTTATACATACAATGGAATATTACTCAGCAATGAAAAACAATGAAATCTTGCCGTTTGCAACAACATGGATGGAACTATAGTGTAGTATGCTAAGCGAAACAGAGAAAGACAGATATATGATTTCACTCATACGTGGAATTTGAGAACCTCAACAGATGAACATAGGGGAAGGGAAGGAAAAATAAGATTAAAAAAAGAGAGGGAGGCAAACCATAAGAGATTCTTAAGTACAGAGAATAAACTGAGTGTTGCTGGAGGGGAAGTTGGTGGGAGGATGGGTTAAATGGGTGACGGGCATTAAGGAGGGCACTTTTCAGGATGAGCACTGAGTGTCATACATAAGAGATGAATCACTGGGTTCTACTCCTGAAGGCAAGACTATACTGTACATTAACTGACTTGAATTTAAATTAAAAACAAACAAACAAAAAACATACCATCAACAACATTAGAAGATGGATAATAGTCTGGGAACAAGTGTTTGCAATGAAAACAAAGGACTGGAATACTTTACATCTGAGAAGAAAACAGCCCAGCAGATAAATGGGCAGAGGCTATGATGTGGGTGGCTCACTGAAGACACCGAATGACCACTGAACAAATGGATACTGCCTGGTCTCAGTAAGAATGCAAGAGCGCAAATTAAGAACAACCTATCTTCTTTTTCAAAAACTGACCAAACAGGCATTTAAAAAACAAGATAACATGAAGTGCCGGGAAGACTGTGGTAAGGTGTTTCACTCACACCCTCCTGGGGGGAATGTAAATTGGTGTGATCTCTCCAGAAAGCAATTTGGCAGAGAGATTCTGGAAAAAAAAAAAAAAAAAAAAAAAAAAAAAAAAAAAAAAAAAAAAAAGTCTATCTCTCCTCCCAGAAAGCCTCCATTTAGAAAATGTATTATTAGGCAAGAATCAGAGACGCAGCACAAAATTTATATCTAAGAAGGCTAATCACATTATTTATAGCAGAAGAAATAGAAAAATTATCCTGTGGAGTAGAAATAGAAAGAAAGACCCAGTTAAATATTCAGCAGGGGGAACTGGTTAAACACAGTGGAATATCAGGGGGTTATGTGAGTGTATATTTACAAGGAAGATAACGATAGGAATTGAATGATATAGGAATTTTAAACTCAAAGTAAGTTTTACTATGGAAAATTTCAAACATACACAAAAGTTGAAAGAATGAGAACACGAGTACCTCAAATACCCATCATGTAGATTCAACAAAGAACATTTTGCCATATTTATATCATCGTGTTTGTATATGTTCACACAACAATTTCAAAGTAGTTGTGATATTTTAATGGCAAAAGTCAGGATATATTCATTCAGTCAAGTAAAATATATCTCTTGAACACCAACCATGTGCCAAGTGAGGTGCTTGGGATACAGCAATGAACAATGACATGTGTGTGGCAAGTGTGGTAACACGGTGGTAGGGAAGGAATGGGGTTCTTAAGTCCTGCACAGCTACCTAGGACCATCCCCTAGAGGGGACACTGCTCGCTGTGCCCTCCTCTGATACCACTGAGGAGGGGACAGATACACTCTGTTGCCAGCACGGGGAGGTGGTAGGGGAGGGCATAGGTTTCATGAGGATCAGACCCTGCCACAAATCCAGGGGCACTGTTACTTTCCAGCTGTGAACTGTAAGGTACTTCAAGTCTCTCGGCCTCAGTTTCCTTTTCTGTAAAATGGCTGTGATAACATCAGCCTCAGAGTGTCACAGGGAGGATGGGATTTGAGTGAGAGCACATATAAAACACACAGAACAGCATGAAAGGGGTTCAATCAGTGGTAGCTGATCAACATTGCCATCATCCAGGTCCCAAAGGGAAACCACTCTCCCGACCCTGCAGGACATCAACCCTCTCCACTGAGAACAGCAAGGAGCCCAGGCCAGCCCAGTGACCTTCAGGGCAAAAGTATCTGAGCAGGATTACTGTGACCAGTAGTAGGAAGTAGATGGCAGCACTCTGTGAGGAGGCAGGGAAGGAGGGCTCCAGGACCACCGCAGCCTCCCTCAGCAGCGTCACGTCTGTTCCAACACTGCCACAGAACGGGCAGTCCCCATGGTCTTACAAGGCAGTTCTGACTATGCTCCTTTCACAAAGGAGGAGGCAAGCTCAGAAAGCCAATAAAGCTTGTCCAAGGTCATAGAGCTAAGAGGTAGAAACCAAACCCAAGTCTGACCTCAGTCATACCCTGCAGGCCTCCTAGAGGGCCCCATGACCCAGACAAGATGTTTCCTACTGTCCCCAGTAAAGGGAGATGTAGTAGCAGAAGCTTAGGAACCACACAGAGGACAGGGGACAGGGAATGTGCCTCCCCTTCTGCTCTTAGGTCTGGCTTTGGAAGACACAAGACTGTCCCCCTTATGCTTTCTGGGCAGCTGGAAACGAAGAGTGGTGACATCAGGCTCAGGACCCTCTCTACAAACTGTCCTGAACCAAGATCTTCTGAGATCCCTCTAAATCTCCTGAAGGCCCTGGATGCTATCATCACTGGGAAAGTGCTTGGCTCCAAGAGCACAGAGGATAAAAGTCATCTATATGTAGGGGAGGTCTGGCTTCATGGTTAGAAAAGGAACAGGCAAGTCAATATAGCCAGGAGACATCCAGTCCCCCATAAGGTGGTGGTAGGGGGTGGGGTGGTTACTTAACTATTAGGCGAGCAGGACCAGAGTCCAGTCCCAGGCTGGCCAGACACACCAAACAGCTTCGCTCAGCCCATCACCCCACCCACTGCCATCAGCAGCATAAACAGAATCTGTCTACATTGAGAAGTAATGGTTACTGACATATTTGGAATGTTCTATCAAAAAATAATCATAAATCAAGGGTGCCTGGCAGGCTCAGTCAGTGGAGCATGAGACTCTTGATCTCGGGGTTGTGAGTTCAAGCCCCCCGTTGGGTATAGAGATTACTTAAAAAAAACCTTTAAAATGATAATAATAATCATAATAATAATCATAATAATAATAAATCAAACCATACCATTCTTATTCCTCCTAATCTCTCTTGCAGCCTGATGACCATGTTCCAGTTGAGAATACCAGAGGAGCTGGCTAACTCTGCAATAATTTCTCTACTGGCACGCAGTGCTCAATTGCTGGAAACACACCCCAGCTCAGAGATTCGTTCAATACCAGTTAAATGCAGATCAAAGGACAGAGAATTA